GTGAATGGGATCTGTTCTGGAGGTCTGTTCGCAACATGAAAAGAGCGCAACCCACAGCGGCACATCTGCACATGTGTGGGTTGTGATTCATCTCTTCTGCACATGCGCGTGACATCTTTTTGCAGGTCTGCGCATGCGGGAGCAGTGAAACCCGGAAGTAACCCTTTCCGGTACTTCCGGGTTGCAGCAGGACGTAACCTGAAAGAACGTAACATGAAGCGGACGTAACATGAGGTATGACTGAAAGTATGTTTTGATCCACCCAATAATTGTGCCGATCATATATGAATTCCTCTGTATACTTGTACCTTTTCATGGGTTTCTAAGGTCACTGTATTTTTACTTATTTATTTACTGGTGTTGTTACATTTATTTACTGCTTATTACATCTATTGATTCTTTATCTGTTGCAGTATTTCATCCATCACCCAGAGATCTGCTGTTATTGGGTGACTAATAATTATATCTATCTATCTATCTATCTATCTATCTATCTATCTATCTATCATCTATCTATCTATCTATCATCTATCTATCTATCTATCTATCTACCTATCTATCTATCTATCTATCTAGGGTAGGCACAAGTCAGAGAGGCTGGAGCCAGAAAAGAGGTGGAGTCAGAAGAATGGTGAGGCAAAACCAATAATTTATTTTTTTTATTTAAAGTTTTTGTGACAGAAAGAGAAGTAAAAACTAGGGGGGGGGGGGACTTACAACCACAATCATTCAGAATAATTCAAATTACAAACACAATCATTTTACTTTTATATCACATTCTCAATAATTTTTCAAATACCACCCTCTACTTCCCTTCCCTCCCCTCCCACCCGACTTCCCCTCACCCATGGGAAATCTTATTGGCATTTGTATTATTGTTTCTTGTTGTGTTAGTAGTTATTTATGCTTAATAGTCATATCCTTTATAATATCATCTTGTATCCTTGCGAGTCTTTCCTTTTACGTTTATGTAAAACTTAATTTCCATATCCGTATTTTTTTATATATATCTCTACACACTCCCACTCTCTCCTAATTTTTTTGCTTGGGGCAGCCTCTAATTGATGCTGTTAATTTTTCCATCTCCATAAATTCACAGATCTTAATTCTCCATTCTGATAATTCTTGTATTTTTCCTGTTTTCAATTTTTTTTGCCACTAGTAATCTAGCCGCTGCTGTCACATAGAGGAATATATTATTTTTATCTTTGGGGATATCGTTGGTTATTAAGCCTAATAGATATGCTTCTGGCTTTTTGAGAATTGTGCTCTAAAATATTCTTTTCAACTCTTCGTGTATCTTGGTCCAAAATTGTTTGATCACCTTACACCCCCACCGCATATAGTGCATTGTTCCCACCTCTGCTTTACATCTCCAACAAAGATTTTTTTTATAGATCTTTGCCAATTTTACTGGTGTGAGGTCCCAATGATAACACATTTTCATTATATTTTCCCTTATCAAATAACAAGCAGTGAAATTTATGTCAACTCTTTATTGTCTTTACTGTTGTTTCTTTATCCATGGGTGGACTTTTGGTCAGCCCCATTTTTCTAGCTCAAACAGACCCCAATTGTATGGGGATATTTTTATGCACATGAGATAAAATAGTAACACATCCTTATACTGAGTCAGACCATTGGTTCAGCTAGCTAAGTATTGGCTACATTGACTAGCTGTGGCTCTCTAATATTTCAAAATAGGAACATTCCCAGACCTACCTGGAGATTTGGCGTACTGCACCTGGGACCTTCTGCATGAAAATCACTGCATGGTTGATCACTGAGCAACAACTGTTCCCCAGAGGGATTGGCAGCTTATTGTCATTTTCTTGGTGTGTGTGTCATTTTTCATACCATGTTTTCACTCAAGAAGAACCTATCAAATGGAACTATTGATTCGTCTTTCTTTTTCTTTTTTTCTTTTTCTTTTTTGCAAAAGGGAAAATCTAATTATTTTTGTTAGTTACAAATCCAATTTGTGTATTAATCTCTCAAATATGTCAAATGGGTTTTTAATTGGGAATTAATTGCTTTTTGCCTTCCATAGCCCTTGCTGATTTTTATACGCTTACTATCAAAATCCTTTGGTGATTTTTCACCTGATAGAGAAATAACATATCTAATTAATCAAGTTGTGTATTAACAAATCTCCTATTTAGAGGTACAATAATTAGATTGGGAAAATGTTAGGAAAACAAGAAAATTATTCCCCAAGGTGGCAGGATTGTGAGTTCGACTTGAAAGAAGGCTCTGTGTTTTGCAAAAGCTGGTTAATTAGTTTTAAGGAGGTCTCGGAAGGCTTTGGTATTTTTTTTTTTTTTGAAGTGTGCAATCAGTTTGCAAAAAGCATTTTTCTGAGCCGCAAAGATACTTGCAACCAACTTTCAAAATATTATCTGTGACAAAACACAACATTTGCTTTTCTTTATGGAAAAACCTGTTTTCACTTTTAGAGGCACAGTATGATAAATTCTGGCAAGCTCAGTGATTTTCTATCTTCTATCCACTTGGCAGAGACCAAATGCTAAATAAAAAGTTTTCCTCATTTTTTTTTTACAAGCCCCATCCACACTTGAGCTAAGATTGGAGAGGATATTGATTCAAGTGAGAAAGAAGCATTTTGACTCACAGATTAACAATGCATTCACCACTTCTGGGTTGAGCTTTAAATCTGGATGCTAAATCCAAGATGTGGCCCTTCAGATGTTGAACTGCAGTGCTAATCATCCTCAGACAGCCTGGGCAGTGGTCAACAACATCTAGAGAATCATACCTGTCCTAAATCTTGGAGGGTAGATACCAGAGAGAGGTGACTTCCAAAGTGTAAAGCAGAGGTAGTCAATCTTTTTATACCTACCCCCCATTAATGCATCTTACTTGATGGTAAAATTTCCTTACTGCCCACCAGTGCTCAGAGGAAGGAGGATTTAGCTTGTGCTGTAGAACCCCCTACCGCCCACCTAGAATCCTGAAACGCCCACTAGTGGGTGGTAGGGACCAGGTTGACAACCCCTGGTGTAAAGTGACCAAAATGTTGTTTGGTGCCTTGAACCAGCCATGCTGGTTGGGAATTGGAGTTAATGACTGTGCCATAATGCAGGGGTCAGACCAGATTGGATTGGGCCCATCCTGCTATGAACCTGACCAGTTTCGGAAGCATGGTTGGGATGTGAGATAGGTTGTGAGATGGGATGTTTCTTTTGGAACACCCAGGTCTTGTAACTCCCGCCCTAGACATGTGCATCTCTCTATCTCTATCTCTATCTCTATCTCTATCTCTATCTCTATCTCTATCTCTATCTCTATCTCTATCTCTATCTCTCTATCTCATTCTCTCTCCCTCCCTCTTGTGGTGATACGCCAAGAACATTTTATTTTGTTCAACTTTTTACCATGGGTTAAAGTTTTATCTCCCTCTTTTTATGCTGCTTGTTAGTAGGGTTCGGACAACTTTCCCCTATCTACAGATTTGAGTGTAGAAGGGACCATTTGGTGTCACGCTTGGATGGAGAAGTTCTACACCTATTGCCCCATGTGATGTGCTCCAACGGAATTGGAGCATGGCCACTGAATGGGCACATTGGCTGCTGAGAGCACTAGCACATGGGGCTAGCTAGTGATGCCTTGTAACCTCCCTTGCATGTTCTTTGAATGCATTTGTGGTGCTGTCTGAATGTTCCTATTTACTTTATCTTGCTCTTTTGAAAAGGGCCACAGTTCAATGTTAGAGAATCTGCTTCTCATGCCCAGCATCTGAGGCTAATTCTCCAGGTAGAAGAGGGAATGTCCCCAATCTGAGGCCCTGCAGAGTGGTTGGCAGGCAGTGTCTATAGCACTGAGTCAGATGGACCAATGGTCTGACTCAGTGTAAGACCTTTTCCTACATGAAACTCATTTCAGTCATTTGACTTTGACTTTGTGTTATGTATTTCAGGAGCTATCTGTAAGCTACTTTGAATTTATGTTATAAAAAAGCAGGTCATACATTTTTAAATAAATTGTGTGAATGGGCAGCTGCCCCCTCCTATACAAGATCAAACCCCAGAGGCAAATATTATCATATCAAGTCAAACATAACATTTCCTGTAGAATCACATTGAACAGCCAGTCATCAGGGGTAGTGAAATCATGTGATTGATACTCCTGTGTGATACAGTACCAAGTGGTGCAAAATTCAGATATGTAATACTACCTGAGCCTTCTGCCAAATTAAAGCCTGATTGGAGCTCACATTTTACTCTTCTTTTCACCCTTCCAGGCCATTTTCTCATTTGCTCTTCCTGTTGAAATGATACCAATTTAAGCAAAGCGTGCTTGAATGAGACATACCCTCATATCACAGTTGGACCATCTGTGTGCCTTATCGTACTGCAATGGTCCCAAGTAATTCCTACATTTCCCGCTAATACCAAAATGAAAATCACTGCTGTTTATCAGATTGCAGTGCTGAAGAACGAGGCTTATTTTACACATATGCTTACAGGCAGATTAAGATATACAGGGTGGGGAGCACACTGTGGAACAGAAATCTGTTCTGCTAACAGATCTAATCATTTAGTGTACTATAAAGGCTCCAAATTTCATCTGTTAACCTATATGCACTTCCTAATTACCATTCATCAACCTGGCATTTTAAAGCATTCCCCTGTGTTACCAATGCGCTTTTCAATGGCTGCCTGTAGTAGTTTTAGCAGCTTTTCATCCTGGAGGCATTTAAAGCCTTCCTCTGAGCTCAATTCTTTTGCACTGCTTCTTACCCCCACACATGTAATAACGGAATAGGTTGAATGCAATATAACCAGTGGTGGCTGGTGCTCATTGGGACTCATGAAATGTAAAGCAGGGAAACCAAGAATAGTCAAAGCCTGAGCCAACATCAAGGGGAAACCTCTTCTACAAGGGGCAGGCCTGAGACTAAGAAGAATTATAGAACCAATTACAGAGTTGAAGGGAACACAAGGGTCATCCGGTCCAACCCTTGCAACGCAGGAATCTTTTGCCCAACGTGGGGCTCAAACCCACGACTCTGAGATTACAAGTCTCATTTGCAACCAACTGAGCTATCAGGCTGAAAGGAAGAATAAAGCCAGGACCACTGCCTGGGCTGGTTTTAAGAAAGAAGGCAGGGTATTTGGTAGGACCAAGATAGAGGTTGCTGGGACAGGGCACAATTTGCCCTAATGAAGAGTGGTATACAAATTATTATTATTATTATTATTATTATTATTATTATTATTATTATTAGACTATCCTCCACCACATACACCTGAAACAATGATTTTAGAGTCCTGTGACTGAAAGCTTCCCTGTGTGCATGTCTGTATTCAGAAAATAAGAACAGGGCACTCTAGAGACACATTTTAAACTTGAAAAAAACAAACAAAACTTTGATAGACATCTGGACTCTTGACTATTCAGCTATTAATGCCACTATTAATGTGTACATTTCTGTTACTAAACTAGTTCCCAGATTTTAAGTGTGATGCTATAGCTTTTGCTGTCAAACGAAACTCTTTTCCTTCTCCAGATGGAATGAGTGCATACTTGGATCAGACCCACTAAAGCCTAATCATAGCTAGGAGTGGGGAAGAAACCTGATTCAGGTCACATTTATAAGTGAAGCCACCAAGTGCCGTTCGGTGGCTCCCCCAAAATTCCTTCTCAGTCCCTGAAATAGTTGCTAAGCAAAGGAACTATAGTGGGAGGGCTGGCATTGCAACGGGCACAAGGAGGGAGTGGAGAAGCCTTAAATACTAGGCTAGGCCATTCCTTCTCATTGGAGAATTAGTCTCATTTGGCTACCAAATCCCATCCAAGAGAAAGGGACCACTTTGAATCTCTCTCTCTCTCTGTTTTGTGTGTGTGTGAGAGAGAGAGAGAGGGAGAGAGGGAGAGAGAGAGAGAGAGATCTGCCCTCACTCTGAGAAGGAACATAATTTTGAGGGGATATTGATAAAGACCTTTCACACAGAATGCACTCTCAGGCACACTGCCACTCAGAGACGCCAGGTTGATGACACTAATATCTTAAATGAGAGCATCCTGTGCATGTTCTCACCATACGAGGTGAGCCAGACATCTGAAAGAAAGAGGGCCTTTTCACCCTTTTTTGGCTCTATTGTCTGTCATTGATAGATGATCTTGTCTGAAATATGGACAACAACAAAAATGTCCTTGATTGGACCTGATTAATAAGTTTCTTCCTGCAGTCTCTGATCCTCTCTCTTCTGCTGTTTTTGTTCTGTTATTAACATATGCTTATACTCTTTTTAAAAGTCCAATAAAAAGATGGGGTTGGTTTTTTCCCCCAGCAGTGGGTGTGGCAGCATCATAGCATGGGTTGCTGGTACCTGTAATGGGGCAAGTTTTACACACACCCCCCACCGATGGACTGGGCAGCTGGGCTAGTGGCACACACCCAGGGGTCTTACACAGGCTCTTCACCTGCTGCCTCTGTGCACCTGCCCACTAGTCCAAGCTGCCCGCTGCCGTTCCTCAGCTGCCAGGGCTATGTGCCTGTTTTGGGGGGCACCTGATTGTGCCCCCTCAAAAGTGTGTGCCTGGGGCCACGCCCCCCTCCCCCCATGCTACGCCTCTGAGTGTGGCATCTACTATATTGTCCTTTCAGTAGCAGACACAGCCCACTTTTATTTTCTCAAGCTTTTCAGACGTAATTCTAATTTGTGCCATTAAAAAAAAAAAAGATTACCAAGCTATGGAATGTGTTCATACCTTACCTTTCCTTTCAGCAGCTCAGCAATATACAGCTATTACATGGCGTTGTCATTACAGATCCTGGAATGCTAATCCAGCACTAATATAGATGTGTCTCGCACATATGGCCTACGCTACATCGATTTAGACAAGCATTCATCATGAACTAATTAAAACTCTCTTTTCTGCTTAATTATTGGTCTCCAATGATATTAGATGAAGACAATGTATATCTCAAGAAGTTGACAGGCGTGTGCACTCTGGAAACAGTGATAGCTGTCATACACTTGGTGATTTCAATTTTCTTTCAAAATTATGCAGGAGGAAGCACTTCTGTAATGCCTTGAGAGAAAAAAATTAAATAAGAGAGAGAGAGAGAGAGAGAGAGAGAGAGAGAGAGAGAGTAGAGAACAGCTGCTGATATTGATTCTATGAATCTGAAACTTTATGAAACCATAGATGGATACATTTGACAGAAGCATATTTCTGGAAGACTTTCAGACTTAAGCAAACAACATCTGTTAATATTGACTTTTGGAGTGGGGTGGGGAATTACATCGGAATTTTTCAGAAGAATTACAATCAGCAATTGATTGAAAAATATGTTCCAGTGCTGTAGAAAAGAGAGTATAAAATACAAAACAGAAGGTTAGAGGGTCTGATTTCTTTTCAGTGTATAAGATTACACAGCAGTTGTATTTCACTCTAAATGGGCCATTGAAATAAACAATGACTCACAGCAGAAGTCTAACCATATCTACTTAGAAGTAAATCCTGTTGAATTTAGTGCGGCTTTCTCCCAGGTAAGTAGGGTGGGGATTGTAGCTTGACTATCTCTTGTTAGGGACGTTTCAGGAACTCTCAACTGGATTTCTAATATTTTGGAATTACTTGATCTTGTTTCCAAAGCATTGTTAATGCATCAGGAATCATCCATTATTCTAATTTTCTTTACTAAATAAATAAATAAATAAATAAATAAATAAACCTGGTATTTGTAGGAAGTTCTGTGCATTGGGAAACTTGCTATAGTTTTCTTCCCCTTCCTCTGATGGCCTCAGACCAGAGATTCCCCCTTAAAGCTGCAGAAGGGGAAAACATGCTGGTTGTTGTTGTTGTTGACGACATTATTGTTGTTGTCATTGTCATCTTGCTAAAGTGGCTAGTCTTACAAAAAAAGAAAGAAAAAGATTATTATTACTTCTTTAAATTGCTTGCTGAATTTACCTTGCTTCCCATCCACATATGTTCACAAATCATAGTACAAAGGCTAAAGACAAATGCAGTGAGGTTTGAACCTGGTACTCTCTGGTCAAAACTCCTGGCATCAAAACCTAATACCCTTGGAAAGCTTTTGGAAGTTTAGCATCCCAGCAAGGACCACCTGCACTGTTGCCTATCCTGGACCCCTGGCTGTAGGTTTCCCTACACCTGAGTGACTCCCAATTGATGGATACCCCATTGGTCTGACGGAATTTAAGGCAGCTCTCTGTATTTCATATTAGGTATCTTAACAACAATTCAAAATACAAAATGTATGGCAAAATGAGACTTCTCTCGGGGAAGAGAACTGCACCTAGCACAATAATAGAGCTCCACTGAATTTGACAGTTCCTTTTAGGTGTGTTACCTACTCAACCATCTGGATGAAGTAGGTTAAAAAATATGGGGCTAGGACATGAAAAAATAAGCACATAATACATACACTATGCATCTCCTGTCTGTGCCCATTTTGGTCTATGTTGCCAGCTACACATTCCTTATGAAGTCCACAGCACTTCTGTCACCACTTGATATATGCTGCCTCACCATGTCTAACATTTGTCCCTTTCTGCTGACTGAGAAATGTTCGTTTTGGTGGCAGATCGTTTAAAGAGCCTTGACACTGATCACTTGTTTTGAAACATTTCCTACTTCCTGCAAATCTGGGATAACTGTCAGGACAACATTGATGGAAATCTGTCTTTGGTGTGATGACTCTTGGGAGCTTTGCCTTACAGCTACAGCAGTTTATTCTGCTTCCACACCACACACACACACACACACACACACACAACTATTGGATACAAGGAGTTGAGCCAATGATCACATTTAATCTAGATGAGCATTAAGATCATTTGCAGATCACTTACATGACAATGGAGGATGGCTAAGAAAACTGAGCAGCTGGGGTGCATGTTTTGTACATTTTCATTCTAAACATAGGAAGCTGCCTTCTTCTGAGTCAGGTCGTTAGCCATTTGTGTACTACTTACAGTAATTGGCAGTAGCTCTCCAGGAGTTCAGCCAAGGTTCCCTGCCAGTCCTACTGTAAAGGGCTGGGGATTGAACCAGGGTATATTTGTAGCCCTGCCTGGATACACTAGGAATTGGACTTTAGACCTTCTGCATGCAAATCAGATGCTCAATAACATACCCTCCAACATTTCTCCCATGAAAATAGGAATGTCTCATTCCATGATGATGATTTTACTATTTATACCCCACACATCTTACTGAATTGCCACAGCCACTCTGGGCAGCTTCCAACATATATAAAAACATAACAAAACATTAAACATTTTAAAAACTTCCCTATACTTGATTGCCTTCAGGTGGTTTGGGAGTCAAATAATTCCATACCCTCCAACATTTCTCCAATGAAAATAGGGACATCCTACCGTCCCCTCTAACATTTCTCCAATGTCCTAAGGAAAAGTTGGACTTTCCGGGATCAAATCAGAAACTGGGACGGCTTCTGTAAATCAGGGACGTCCCTGTAAAATAGGGACAGTTGGAGAGTCTGCAATAAATGGAACAGTTGCATCTTCATGTGAACATATTGAGTTAATATTAAAGCATTTTGATGGGGCTAAATGAAAAATTGGCAGGTTGTTTCCACTATCATGTTCAGGATCAGCAAAAAACAAAGAAAAGAAAAAAGAAAAACACCTTTGCCTTTGAGTGATATTTTAGGAGTGAAACTGAAAGGGAACAGGCATGCAAATACTAGGCCTTGTTACCCTGATAACGGGTTTGACTGTAATGAGGGTGAGTCCCAATACAAACCAAGAGACATTGGCCATTTCTCAGGGGAGTTTCTCAGGGGTGGCACCTACCTGGTATAATGTCCCTGCAAGTGTGATCTATCAATCCCAAACACTATGCTTTATGGAAGCTTCAGGTCAGGGTGGTGAGATGTAGTGAGGCCCTCAGGCTGAGAAAAAGTTCATCACCAATGATTTAGATATGCTTTATTCAGGAAGAGTTTTAGTGGAGCATTTCTCCCATTTTATGTGCTGTTAAAGCATGTTCTCCTTCACATGTTGCAGTGGGGTCCGACAGGCCACCCCTCTGTTGCTGGGCGGGTTAGTAT